GTCAAATCCTGCCACACCCAATGATCACCCCAAGTCCAAAGCCCCTACAAAACACTCACGCTCACTACAAACACTTGCACAACCACGGGCCCTGAAAAATAAACACCCGCGCACGCACAGCTCTTTCCGTACGTGACTCAAATCAAAAGTATTTTAGCTTAAAATGTCTCTCTTCCCAGCCCTGTACGGTGTGCGAAGCGCAAATGAGCCACTCCAAAGCAGTCCAAAGGCTTTAAAAGAGTGGAAGCATGTTCGGAGCCCGGTGGAGAGCAGTGACCTGATAGGCCCACATATGACAGCGTCAGCTGCTGTGAGCCGCACTACCAAACACTTCAGTTCTGATTGCTTGGTCCTATGCGAACACAGTTCCCAACAGCTACAATCACAAAGCATCGTCTGAGAGCTACTTAGTGGCTTTGACTGGTGGCCATCTTTGGAAGAAAATAGACATTCACCTGTTCACCCATCGAAAAAGGGCCATCCCGCTCAGAGAATCCCCATCGATGGCAGTGATCTATTTTGAGACTGAACCACTAAATTAAGCACCACAAGCTCGGGTCTGAGAAACCACTCAAAGGAAAGACACCTGCTCCACACTTACAATCACCAACGCTTAGAAGTACACTACAAGTTGAATTATCCACGGAATAAATCCTTTCTCATTGTCTTTTTTCTGACATAACTCCTTGAATCATTGATTTTTTTAAAGGTTTTAAATATTAATGGGACGTAGACAGCAAAGTGAACATGAATTATTCATTAATACAAGGAATCACCAACAACATTTTTTTTTACTTGTGCACAGCTATGTCTCCTGTAAATGATTTATCTACAAAATAATAGTTTCCCCGAACGGAAAAAGCCGTATGAATCTTTTCATGTACTTGAATATATAATGCCTGAGGTCTCAATGTAATCACGGTTTCCCACAAAGGACGAGACGCAGCCATAACGGATAGTGTTAATTCGTCTTAGGAGAGTGTAGGGGAAGATGAGAAACACCTGCCTGCTGCAGCTCTCGCCGTTTGGGCTCTCCAGAGTCAGCATCCTCCGTTCTGAACTCCTCTACACGCTGCAGCTGGACATAGGAGGGGGCTGTGAAACTTTGGCATGTTTATTGCTGTCATTACCGTTTCCAACAACAAATCTCCTCCGTACACTAACACTATTATCCTGCAATACGCCGAATAAGTCGACATGACCGCTTTGCGGCTTTCCTTTAAATCTGCAAATACAAACCCCTAACAAGTTCTTGCCAAAATTGCGTTATCCTCAGACCCCAAACACGTGGACAGCTGACGACTGATTTTGCCCGCGCATGATAGAGGCATTAAGAAAATCTACACGCAGACCTGAAAGTGTAGGCGATGATTACATAATCACGTTAAGTATCTTCTTGGTTAATTTGCAGTTAATTGTTGAGATGGAGTGAGTCTTTTCTCGGTTTAGGCGTCCTTAACCCCTGCTGGCCCAGGGACTGCACTGCCATTATCTCCCCATGAAAAATACATTAAAAAAAAAACAAGAGATTGCCGTAATTTTTTTTTTCTTAAATGTCAAAGCACTGCCCAAAAGAATTGCTCATTTTTCTGGATAAATCCCACTTGGGGATCAAATTGCTGCCAGGTGTTAAGAGGCAGCGTGAGCAGCTTTGATTAACTGGCTACCAGCTTCTCTCTCCTGCATGTCTCGTTGTTCTCTGCAGAGCCTCTGCAGAAAGATCGGTTCAAAGGCCTCTGCTGCAGAAACATATGTTTATGTCGGAGGCAAAGAGGTTTCTTTTTCGGTGCAATTCTAAACATTTTAAGCATATTTTCTGTGACAAACTGGCTGGGACTTACAAACAGACAAGTATGTAAATATTGGAGGGATTTGCATTTCTTCCCCCTTAGTAACCAAAGTGAAGGTTGTGATCATTTATAATTTATTTCACACAACAGAGCGTTCATGTTGAATGTAATTGTGTCCAAATGTTTGGCTGTGGATACGGATATGATGAAGATATGTACTTCTATGCTCTTCCTGTAGCTGTCTGTAGAATTTGAAAGGGCTCACAAAATTCAAACAGCTGAAATCATTTCACACACACACAGCTGTAGTAAACACACAACACAGTCAAGCTGAAACATGTGTTGCACTTGGCCAAAATAAAACCTAAAGGGAGAAAGATCGCTTCTTTACTCGCAAATACACAAACGTTTTCCTGCGACTGCATCAGCCAGTTCGTTCTGTTTGACCATTGTGACGGGCTCTAAACCCGAGCTGACTTCTGTGTGCCTGCAGTCATAGTTTACATGTGAGCTCCAAGAAGTGGAGTCGCCTCGCTGAAAATTAGCGGGAAGTTGTATAAGCTGTGTTGTCTGGAGATGGCTGGGGTCTCCTGGGAAAAAGCGAGCAACAAGTCTTCATGCTGGTGCTGCTCGATTTAGCAGGAACTCAGGGAGTGAAACCCGATGGTATCAAACTTGAGATAACTTAAAGCCAAAGTGCAATCTGATGTACACACCGTTAGAAAAGCAGCACTTCTATCATTTCTGTCCACCACACCTCGTGTTGCGCTCGTATTATGAACTCCAATACAGTGCTGGGCATGTATAGGAAATCTTGAATTCCCTCCACACAAAAAACTCTGTATATACTGTTCTGTGGTTGCCAAAAAAAACGGAAAAAAACAAACCGCTGCTCTTGACTTTTATTGCGAGCCGGATCCCAACTCAGATCCTCTCACAAGGTTCAGCGCAGTTGTCAAGAATTGTTGTCGTTACCTTTTCAGATTAAACCACATTTTCCAAACACGCCTCCCCTGCTTCCTCCACAGACCTTTTTCATTTACGTTTAATCATTTAGCAGACACTTTTATCCACAGAAACTCTTGAGTCAGAACCAATATTTAAGTTTCAATACACCAAGAAATCCCAGGCGATACATTGAGTGCTAAATTAGAATAAATGTATCTAAATGACAGAGAGGGGGAGATTACATGTAGGTGAATCTGTCTCATTACTGGGGCTTGTGTTAACGACATTGGTTGCATATGTGCTATGCCTGCAATTTGTCAAGTTACAATATTCTTAAATACAAGAGCAATGCGTTGTAATTAAACTCCATGAGGTCTGGTGTAGGAAGCTGGCGTCTATCCCAGTTGCATGTGAGCAAAAGGTCAATTCAAATCTGGACAGGTATTGGATTCCAGTTAAGATTAAAAAAATTAAAATGAACTTATCCCATTCCAACTTGTTTTTCTGATGGGTTTTTCTAAAATCATGAGATTATAATGACATTGAGTAACTGATATGGAACTAAGAAATTGTTTTAAAAACATATTTTTCAACAGTAAGGGTCATAATTTTTTTAGATGGTTTTGATGCATGCATTTTTTGGTTTAATAGCTCATTCCTCCATTTTTCATTAAATATAGGTTTGTTTTATATAAAGAGAGCTTAAAATGCACCCAAAAAGTTTTTTCACTGACTTACCCCTTACTTTTTTCGAAGTAAGAACAAAAAGTATCCTATCCTTACCATCACCTTCACTCTTACCTAAATCATTTACCAAAAATACCAAATGAATCAGTTGGAGTCTCAGTCATATAAAATAAATACCCTGGGGGGGCACCTCTTGCCATTAAGTGCAAAGTTGTTATATATTTACTTGTCATTTTCTTGTTTGGGACCCCCTGGACCTTCTGCTCCTCAGTTTGAATGATCCCATAGCCTTCAATGGTGGGACACACTGGCACCCCACATTAAGCCATAAACTTGGTATGAACACACACACACTCAGTCATTCACACACACATGCTCATCATAAAGCCGCTTTGCTGTCCTTTGGTTTCAGTCATCAATGTTCAAAGTTACGCTTTCTCACAATTGCTCTTACATGTTGCTGTTGTTGCTATTTATGTCTTTCACAATTTGTCTTCGTGTAACTGCCACGGATTGTTCTTTTGTTTTTCCACAGAGCCCGTAGGGTGTTTTCTGTTAAGGTTCACTACAGCTGCGACAGCTGGATGTCTGCTTTTGCTTTGGCTTTACTTGTATGTTTGTTTTTGTTGTTTTCTGCCTCTCGTACCGTTTTCTTCTTTATTTCCTGTTCAGTCATGCCCCTCATTTTTTACCCTCAGTCAGATTTGGCATTGGTATACTGTTTTGACTATAAACGAGACATTCAAACATTTTTTTGACCTAGGCATCAAGGGTAGCTTTATATTCTTAAAGCTTCTCCTGGAAAAGCAATCGGACCATCATTCTGCACATCTTTAAAATGTGACACAAACTTATTTTTAAGGTTATAAAAGTACACATTTGTAAAAACAGCGGAGAACCACCATCAGCTATATCTGTTATATCTTATAACAGATATAAGGGGCCATTTTCTGCTGCAGCATTCAGACTCAAAGCACTTTTTCTGGTTGCAGAGCGTTTGTGGGAATGGTTGAGCAACATAAACAGTTTCTCTTTCTCTCACAGAGATGTAATCTGTTTCCACAGAGTGATTCGTCCGTGTGTTTGTAATGGTTTTTGGAAAACAATGGAGCTTTTGCAACAAGAATGATCAAGCCTCGACTGCTTTGATAACTTGGGATTAGGATTCATTCGTGGCTGGTTTTGCTTTCTTGTTGGCTTTGTGGGCAAAATGATGGCTATGTTGCTGAGCATTGAAAAAAAAAAAGACTGGTCGGTCCAAATTTTTAAATAATAGCAGTTACGCTCTCGAGAGACTGGTGATTGTTACGCAACCTCTGTGGCCACCAGCCTCGTGGTTTAAGCTTCTGTCACCATGGTGTGTTTAGGTGAGTGGAATTTGAGCAGCTGAAGAAGGAATATTTTCAGAACAGCAAATCCTGACAAAGCTGCTTTCTTTCTAATCTGCCCCATGATTTATTAATTGAAATCCAATCATTAGCAACTTGTTGTCAGCATGTTCTTGCAAATTTGAACTTTTTAAAATGTTTTGGTCTATGTACGAGTAATGACTTCCAAGAAATGATGACCATCCAAGCCTCTGAAATTACGTTTATTCATCCGTCAATATAGAGTGTTAGGTAAAACATTTTGGCACAGTAGCTTGATGATAATAAGCTGTCCCATCTCTGTGTGTTGTAATCTAAATAAATACAAATCCATAATTTATTTTTCAAATAAATACAATAAAAACTACGACAACAATGCACCGCATCTGCGCCTTTCCCTTTACATCCTCAACAACAATCAAAAATACAAAAATGAACAATTCAATGTACTTCAGGCAGATACAGTGAACCAAAAAAAAAAAAAAAAAAAAAAAACATGTCTTTGAGGGTGAAAAAGATGCTTGATAATTAACTTCAATGGCTGCCAGGCAACACAACAGGGAGGCATGTTCAGGGCCCATGGAAGGCTGAAGTGTGGGTTATGGGTCAGGAAAAGTTTCATATGGGTGCAAACACGACCTTAGATTCAAATGTCTACTTCATTTTTCTGCCACTGTGAAGAAAAAGAAAACATGTCACTACTTTTCACTAAAACCATTCTTCCCTTTCCAGTTGAGCTCTGCAATCAGCTAAAATTAGCGTGGGTGTAAACTTTCACAAATTACACCCACAGTAAAGAATTAAACAGGTTATATCACCTGGAACTGGAGATGAGAGATGTTTAAAAATGAGAGTTGATATGACTTAGAGTGTTTTGGCAATCATTTAGGGAAAAAATTGTCCCAGAGAATAATGGGTAAATTACATGGTATATATGGGCTTATTTTGAAAAAGTAGAAAAAGGGGAAAGATTTGCTCCATGGAGAGCAGATGGGCATATTTTCACATGTCTATTGCTAAAGTGTGAGAGTGTTTATCTTAAAGCAGGCTAAACAATATATATGTATATATAACACAATTATTTAAGGTGTGTAATAAACATGGAGCTATAGAAAATGATTTATTTTACTGTCAAAGTATTTTGAATACCTCTTTTACCAACTCATTTTCATTCCCAGCTTATCACATTCTGCATCTTTGTCAAGAACACCTCTTGTCAGGTTTTAACACAAGTCAAAAAGCCTTCTTTGGAAATGCATTTAAGCATGTTAGCCCAACTGAAATCAGACCAAACATTCTCCAAGCCATACTAAGACACCAAGATTTTGATTTTTAATTTAGTTATGCATGCATGCTCTCAAAAGGACTCAATATGTCCAAAGTTTTCTCCACATGTTCTTTAGTTCCAGGCCCCCTAAAAGATGCTAACTTTAGTGACTAACCTCAAGCAATGTGTTTAGAGTGTTTATTTATGCTTCCAAACTCCCATAAAAACCAATCTCATCCTTATCACATAGTTATAGTATGAGGGTTATAATTTCTATATCATATCTTTTTCTGTTGCTTTTGTCAGATGGCTGAACAAATCACTGACATGCAGCCCATTAACTCCATTAAAGCATTTCCATACCGTCACTATGTGAAAAAAGGTTTCCTGTAAGTGAACAAAAAAACTAGACTAACACATGCATGGGATGATGGATCTCAGAAAGAGGCAGAACATCTTCAGCATTTTCTCACACAGTTCACAGCGTTGTGGTGTCAGACATGGTCGGTCAATAACTCAGTTTCCACTTCCTGCACGTACACTGGGAAAAGGACAAGGTTCCAGTTAAGTGGTTGGATTAAACTCTAACTGTGCCTCAACTTAACAGTGCATGTAAACGTACACTGGCACACTGACTGTACCAATGATGAAGGCAAACAGAAAGACCTCATAAGCATTAAGAAGTTTGGAGGGGAGAGGGGAACAGACACTTGACTCTTAAACATGAGGGCTGTGTTCAAATCCAACCTTGAAACTGCTTTTTTGTGTTTATGAAGACTTTTTCTTCCTGTCTTTATTCTTCTGGATACTTGGCTGAAGTTATGGGTTATGTTCCTTGGATAAAGTTAGCTTAATAGATTATATTTTTCTCAAATGGGTTTGCCTTCCCAGGTTCTGTAGTGACCTTTGCAGGAGAAGCGGGAATGGGCTGCTTGTACCTGTGTAATAACACTGCAATCAGTACATTTATGTGTATGAGCTGGGAACTAAAAAGCGACAAAATGTTGTGTGATCGTAACAACTCAACACACCTTTAAGTCGACATGTGTTCTGGTGCTGTGTCACAACTCAACATTGTCATCGGGTCGGTGGGCAAAAAAATGTCCGGTGCAGAATTTGAGGTAAGCGTAGGCAATTAAATATTACATAACATTTAGTTGTTTTCATCTCGGTAGATTCTGAGATTTGGAGAATTGCGTGTGTGAAGCGCAGTAACAGCAACGAACTGGTCCACTCCGGTGGAAAACGCCACCAGTCCGACGGGCGTGCAGCCACTCAAACGTCACAACGTGACACAGGTGACAGTGTTACTACACAGATAGAGAAGAACCTTTGGGTGGGAGGTGTCTTTTTCGTTTCCTTCTCATTTCACGTGGACGCCAAACACGGCACCCGCAGTTCACGAGACTCGGTTCCAATATGAGGTGACAGGCTCCCGAATGTCAGCATGGGACTGCAGGTAGCAGTGGAGCAGCCATAAACGTATTCCCACTGTTTCCTCCTCTCTTCCAGCTTATATTCCATTCCTTTAATCACGGAACAGAATCCATGTTTGAGTCTTCTTACAGAAGCTGAGAGCAACATGACAAAGGGAGGGTTTCCGCTCCGTTGGGTCATACACACTCGCAGTGTTTTGCAGACACGTTCTGTATCATGTGGTAGCGGTTGTCATTACCCAGGAAGTAAAAGCCCTTTTCGAATGCAGTCGGTCTGCAGCAGGGCCCGTTGCTGACTTTGTCCCTGCGTCCTCTCTCCCTGAAGCCCGTCCGAACCATGTGCTCCATGGTGATGTCGTAGTTCTGCCGGTGGGCGGCACATTTGCCGCTGCAGTAGTGCAGCTGCACCGTTTCCTCGCTGTTGTAGCCGAGGCCCAGCTCGCTCACCGTGAGCACCAGCTTCCTCAGAGAGCAGGGCTTAGCCCTGCGGGCTCTCTTAGTCCTTCTGGTTTGGCTCTTTCCTGGAGGCTGGCCCTTCCTCCTCTTCTTATCGAGCAAGCTCTCAACCACATGCTGAAGCTCGCCCTCTGTGAAGCTCTGGAGCATCCTCGAAACTGAGGGAAAGGATAAAAATCAGGATTACTGACTATACCAAAGGTGAGAATCTCTGGTTCTCCTGACAATTTTGAAAATAACATGTAAAACACTGATGAATGAATAAAATAAACATAAAACATTATTCCCTTAGACCCCATACCATTTTTTAAAAAAACATCTTGATAATTACAAACTGACTCTGTCATCACCACAGTGGAATAATGTATGCTAGTTCCATGGAGTAAGAAAAGAAAAGGCGATATATCCTCATCTGCTGGAATTTAAAATGCTCCTAAAGTGAGCCTGTGATTTATTAAGTGTTAATTGACTGCAGGTTCATGTAAGACATTAAAATCCTGCTCTATAAACAAAGGAATCAGGTGCTAAGTGTTTTCTCTGAAACCTGACAACCCCTTTTCTCATGACACCTTATTTCTAAACCAACATAAGAGGATGAATGTGACAGTCCATCTTACAGTCTGACAGGATGGTGTTGACGTTGTTGTCTGTTGAGCGGATCTTCCGACGGGGACCTTCTGTCTGCTGGGAAAGCTCCCTCGAATCGTCGGAAGAGGATAATGATATCCTGGACGTTGACCCGGACGAGGCGGACGGTCTCAGTAAGGGCGAAGACGTGTTTGTGTGTTTGGTCTTGAGCTTGAACTGTCCGATTGTGGCCATGTTTCTAACGAGGATGGTGGACAGGGCTGCACCGCAGAGCACGAAGGCAAAAGTAGCACCTTTCCATAACTTCATCTTAGAATGTGGAGGAGCATTGAAACTCTGTGGAGAGAGGCAAAAAACAGTGGTGTTTAAAGCATTCACACCCTCCGTCATGGAAACCATCCTCCCCGCTTGATCCTGTAATTGCTCATTTTTTTGTGCTGCCTCAAAGCAAAGAGTTTTTACTTTCCCGCCCGGTTCACTTTTTCCTAAACCTGCTGTCTGCTCATTTCCCCTCTGAGTGGGTTCTTGATCCCTGTGCCTGACATCCCTTGCTGACACCTGAGAATGCGGTGTGTGTTTAAAGCTGTGCTGCTGCAGCCCGCAGAGTGAAAAAAATCAGGACAACCGTCTCATGTTTTCACTGATTGGATGAGTCTCTCACCTTCCCCTGATAAACATCTGTTGAAAAAGGGTGTTTTATCCAAGATACCTCTGTGACACGGCAATGCAAGCATGTCTTTTATCTCTCTCTTTTTCCACAACTAATGTCCTTTCAAATAGGGAAAGTTCATTCCTGCTTTCACAGGAATCTCGTAACCACACCTATTTGCAATCTAAAGTATGACGAGGCCTCAGTGAACACGTGTGTTTCTACGTCCCTTTATGTTGGAGAGCCCTTCCCTCTTTAAAAGCATGGCAACACAACAGCCACAAAAACTCATTCACAGGACGACCGACTCCTGTTTTTCTTTTCGCAGCTGGCATTTGAGGAGTCTTACTTCTTTGTATTTTTCATATCATGTCACCAGTGAGCAAAACATTCCCCTGGAGCCGGAAATGGTACACTGGCAGTGACTAACAGCAAATCCAGACCAGCATCATAAAGTGTTTTGCCAGACTGGACTCTGTAGTGTAGACATACCGGCTAGTGGACTGTTTACAGTGAGACAGAATGTCACATTTTTCTGGTCTGGTTTACTGTAGAAGAAAAAATATTCCACGAATATTTTCTGTAAATCTCCGATCTTGTAGATCACTTTAAATACAACAGTTTGTAATAGATAGTCAAAGGTGGGGAGATTTTCTCATGGGTTTAGCTGTTTGCAGTGGACTAAGATAAACAGAAAAGAGAAAGTGTAGGCAAATTATAGTTCCCACTAAATCTGAGTGTTTTGGACATCGCAGAGGGAAAATACAAACAAACTGCACAAATGAGTTGCAGTGGTATAAACAGCATATAAACAGGTATAACCAGTCCTATCAGTTAAAGCTTGACTCATCACTCATAATTCCATATGGGCTTTACGTGGTGGGAGTCTCTGCACAATAGCATTCATTTGAAAGTCAAACACATCACCTAACAACCTCTTTTGACGCACAAAATAAGTAAACCAAATGTGGGACTGGCTATATGTCCATTGTTGCTTCTCAGTGTTGTGTTTAGCACTCAGAACTTTTACTCTGTTTCTGTTGGTTCAACACCAGCTGCTCACACCAGAAAACCTCGCTGCTCATGTCCAAAATGTGATACACTCTCAATATTAAAAGAGTCGGTCTGCAGTGATGAATAGCCAGAGATGAGATCACTGTTTTCTTATCTCATTAACGGGTCAGTTTGGGACATTTACTCATCCTCGGAATTGGCCTTTTCACACGACTGCAATGCTTTAAAGTCATCAGCCTGTTAGCTCTGTGGTTTATCCTAATGAAACAATTAATTGGTCAGAAACAGATGTCTCGGTGGCTGACACTGGACGAAGCGGGGTCTTCGAACACCGATCTCCCGTCCCCGAAGACGCTGTGATTGTCATAATTGCTCCACTTAGAAGCACATTAGTCACATCTGCAGTCGATTGGCAGCAATGAAAGTGCCAGGAAGCTTTCTGCAGCTTGTTCTGATGGTCATGGAAGATTAATTCAACACGGACATTTAATATCTACCTCTGGCCTCTGCTGCCGTGAACATAAATAAACAGATATTGATAGGGGGAGTGGGGCACCTGTGTTTTCTTTGGAGAGTGATGGAAATACATGAGGAGAAATGCTGCTGTTTCACAGTAAACAGAGAGGAGCAACAAAGCAGAAGGTATAGTGGAAACCCAGAGGTTTTCCAGCAGAAGGAAAACCCATCCTCAGGCACAGACATAAAAGCACAGATGAGTTGCAAAGACAACTAAACCAGCTCCCACACATCCTCAACATGTCTGGCTCTCACAAAAGCATCATGCGGTGATGTGCCCGTGCACGCTCTTGTGTGTGGAGATCAAGGCCGGTTGAATGTACCAACAAGGCTAAAATGGTCTATTGACAGAGAGAGGAGTTGGAGGGCAGGCAATGACATTTTCAATAAGAATTTGTGTTTCTGTAGCAGCTGAGATTGAATATTACGGCACAATATTCGGTGCCGCATCTTACCTGGGGGCCTACTAGCAGAGAGACCGTGGCCAAAGAAGGTCATTAACATGTTTGAAGTGAACCATGAAAATGAGTTCTTTAGGCAAGAATTCCAGAGTCTGTCAAAGCCATTCCCAAGATATTACGTATGCTGTGTGTGATGTTAGAGCTCAATCCCAAACCATCAACCGAGCTGTTGTTGCGACTGAAAGATGGCATTATCTCACATCATACAATAAAATTAATGTTTTCGAGGAATTAAAGGGTCAGCGGCCATGGTGCTGCTAAGCAGACAGTAAAGCAATTACAGCAACATGGCTCTCATGTCCACCCATCCCTCCCATCCCGAGAAGAAGACACTTAACAGAGTGCCGTAGCTCATGGAAGATGAACTAGAGATCTGTCAAGATGGGGATAAGGGGCGTCTTTGGTTAACACTTCTGAATGAAGGCAGCAGACAGGGGGCTTTCTTGTAAGCTTGCTTGGATCTCGACCAATGTGCAATGACAGCAGCCCGAGAGGATCACAGAGAGACATGAATGAAGAGCTTCTTTGTGCCGGAAAGAAAGCAGATGCAAACTTTTATGTCCCTCCACTCTGTAGAATTTGTCCTGTATATCCTAAATACAGCCTGTTCTGTTTTCTCCTCTGGCTCACTGTGACTCACACATACCATAAACACATGTACAGGAATTGCGTGTTTTCACTTTTCCCGAATCGTCTGACACATACGTGCTTAGATAAACTTTCCGACCTTCCGCTGGTGGCCAGAGACCCTAATTATTTCCATTCTACAAAAGCACCATCACAGCACCCCCGTCAATCCATATTTCATGATTAGGGGTTTTTGCTTTTTTAAATCATGAAACCTTCACATATCAGTCTGTGTGCAATGGCACAGCCAGAGAACTCTATCTGCACAGCGATCGGGAAATGGGGTGGGTTTGAGCTCTGAGCCATGTGCGAATTTGTCTCTGCTCTACATTGAACACAGTCAATGAAAAACTGAACAGAAACGATCAGCAGCACACGAAAAAGAGGGAAAGCCACCCACTGTGTTGTTGCAAGGGAACAACATGCTATTCTGGAGTCTTAGAAAAGGCCCTGTCTTGTCTTTGCCCTCTTAAGAGGGGAGGCCTGGGGACAGCTAGAGAGTGCTAGGGGAAGGTAATAGGGGACATATTCCAAAGATCAGGGTGAGATTAGTACTAATGCGTCCTGGGTTTATCTGCAGTCACGTGGATAAACACCTGGCTGCAGTATTGGTAGCAGAGCTCAGGTCCTGCCTTGTGTGCGCGCGCGTGTGTGTCGGTGTTAATCCATCTGACACCTCAAACTCAAGGGTTAGGCCAGCACGTAGCGCCCACGGAGAGAGAACAGGCGCTTCCTCCTCTTAAAACCCTGCCTGTCCTCAGAGTGAAGTAGCAAAGCGGCACGCTCAGTGAGTTGGATCTGTTCCGTTGGCAGTAAAAGGTTGTAAAATAAAGTGGATGATCCAAACCCAGATTGGTTGTTCTAAATGCAGCCCCTGTTCTAATGCAACTAAAAAAGACTGTAATTTCGCTGGGCAGCCGCATAAGTTGGCGTGAGCTCTGTCACTCAGTAACCCAACGGTAATTAAAAGAAGGCAGCTTGTTTGTGAGAAAGCTGCTGTTGATTATTGAGGGGTAAAAAAAAAAAAAACGTCTCTGGATAGTGCCAGAGATAATTTTTAAGAGCATTCCACAAATTCTAAACTTGATTCATGTTTCCTGTCAGTCTGCCTGTCGTGTAAGTAGCATGTTTATTTTGGAGGTTTTTTTATCGAGTTGCCCAGATTAATAGAGATTAATCCAGTGACTCCGCCGCTCTACACGGAAAGGCCCAACTCAAACCTGTTGCCTTTAGGGTGGCATTAATTCAGTGTTAGATGCAGATTTGACACCTGGGATGATTGTGGGAATGAGTAATTCCCATATAGCTTACATGTAAATAGACCAAAGACGTGATGGTTGGCAAGGAAACATAATCTTGCCCCATCAATATTTGTGTGAGCAGATTTGTGCTGTCTGCGTCTTTTTCTAAAGAAGTCTGCGAGCTGCTATTCTGGTTGTTAATCTGTCCATGCCAGATCTTCTTTTAGCACAACAGTAGCGTCTTTAAACCCATGTTAAACATGTCAATGCTTCTGTTTCAAAGGTTGGCAGCCATCTGGCACTCTGAATACCACTGTCAAATTGGAGCAAGCTCAAGCAAGCACAAATATCTAAAACATGAGATTTTTTACACTTACAATCACTTACAATTTAAGCTTATTATTTTCAGATAATTATTTAAGTAAGTGATTTTTTTGTCCCCCCCTCATCACCACCAGGCTCACATACACAAAATGTGCCAACAAATAGAGGAAAATCACTGATGACACAGTGAGGAGTGGTGCTTTAGCTCAGCTTTAATCATAACCAGATTTGGCGGGTTATGAAAGTTGAAAGACTCAATTGACTTTAGGCTTAACCTCGATCCGGCCTCTCGGGACACGGCTAGATACAGTATAATCTCTACGTATGATATAGGCTTAGAGCAAAGGGGATCATCATCTTGGTAAAATGCTTACAGTGAGTATTATCAAGTTTGTTCCTCTCGAAACATCTCCAGGTTTTTGTGATCCGGATCAGTCTAATCATGAATACTAATAAAGGCGCAGCTCCATGAGAAAAAGAAAAATCAATCAATCACTGAAATCATGACGGCTTTGGAAACTAATTAGATGAAATCACTGTATACAAGTGGAGCAACTTCTGGTAAAGCAAACAAAGTATGTTTGGGGAGAAATTATGCATGGAAATGAGTCAAACCACCACACTGGAAAGGTCAGAGGAAAATACCACACAGACAAAATGAATTTGTCAGTGCAGTGAAGGCAAAGGAATTGTAATAATGATTAATTGTCTTGCTTTAGCTCCAATATAGTGGCATATCCCCTTGTAATCAGCGGTGACCGCTCTGCAAACATTTCGTGCAAGGCTGCATTGCACTGGTGTCATGCGGTTCCATCTTGGGCTGCTTGTTGATACAGATAATCCAGCGTGTGTTTTCTGTCACTCAGGCACTCAGCGAGGCATCTCTGTCAGCAGCACCCCGCAGCACCCAACGCCTTCTCACATAAGCTGCCATCTTAAACCAACAAAAGAAGATGCGCTGTCCTTACCGTTCGGCCGGCTAATCCAGACTTAGCTGCGTGGTGTCGTCTTCAGCTGACCTCCTCAGACAGGGGCTGGCTGGGTAAGTCCATCATCATCACAGGCGAAGAGTGAGGGCAAGACTCCTGCTGATTCCCATGAAATAATCACAACTCCTTGCTCTGCAAGTACGGGAGGTGTCCCGACTTGATTCAGGTCCAGGATGACTTATTCTTTTTTCTTATTTGCCTTTCCATAGAACTCTTTTAAGTTGCAAAGATCAAAATCAACATTCCTCTGAATGTAAGCGTGCACTCTGCGCCACTCAGTGCGATCCATTCAAAAGAGGTGAGGTGGATGTCTCGGCCTCCCTTAAAAAAACTCCCGGGCACATGCTTCTCTCTATAGATCCTCTTGGGTCTTCTATTTTGCACAAACTTTAACCTAAAACAGAAGAACAGAGCATAGCTGGGGTACAGTGGCATGCAGCAGACGGATCCCACAGATGCTTTAACTTTTATCCCATCTGTTGTGAAACTCACTTCCCCTTCTGAGCACTTTATCTCCACACAGGCAGCACTGATGGAAGGACAACGCGTATTTGCTTACCCTCTTTCCAGCTGCAGGTCTTCTCTTCAGCTCCAGGGAGA